TAACTATTGCTACTGAAGAACTGAAGTGAAGAAGTTAATTATTTACCTTTAATTCCCTCAGATCAACATCCCCTTCTTGGTCCATTGCCCCCCCTGGTGGGCCGGAGGGGTCCAGGTAAACAGAGCTCCATGGCTGTGTACAGACAGAACCTACACGACCCTGCAGGCAAATCAGAAGCACAAACAGGAAACACTAGAGGTTGCATCCCTCTGGAGCTCAGAGGTAACAGCATGCTTCATAAAGATCCACTTAAAGGTGGGGTAAGCGATTTCTGGTAGCCAATGTTGACATTTGAAATCACCAAAACAAACACGCCCCTACCCCAAAAGGGTCTCGCCCCTATTTTGATAGATCCGCCCCACACATACATAGTTGTAGGGAATGACAATACGATTGCAGATGAACAAACAAGCAAAACCAATGTTACACCGTGTCTACACCGGACGCGAGTGGCAGGGCGCGATAAAAAACTATGGAACTCATTATAATCAGTGATGCTGTCTACACCATATACATATGGTCTACACTGGATGCGGCGCGGCACGACGCGACAAATCCCCGACAGAAAACCGCTGCTGCGTTCTATTTATGACGTATTGACACAAATTTCAAATGAATTTCAACGGTCGCTTTGTCGCGTGAGTAACACCGCAGACACAGTGTTACTCACCTATCGAGAAGAAACAAAGCAACCTCAGCGTCCGATCGCAGGCCTTCCGCTCCTTGAGTTCTCTCCAGCGCTGGAAAGCTGATCCGATATTTACACGGGTCCTACTTATTGCCTTAAACCTTCTTATGTTCCGCAGACGTTTTCCTCTTTTGTTTTTTATCAGCCATCTCTATCTTTCTGTCGCTTGGCTCGCAATTGTCCGTCCTGTGCACTGAACGCTGTCTCCTCCACATCATGAGTAGACACTCCCCTTACTGCTGATTGGCTACAAGTTTGTTTAGCTAGTGGGCCCGAATCAGTTTTCTACAGCGTTTTTGAAAAATCGCTTACCCCACCTTTAAAGGGCACCTATTATCTTTTTTACAAGATGTAATATACTGTAAGTCTCAGGTGCATGTCTCTTTAAATGCAAAGGAGCTGCTGCTCCCTGCCCCCCGTTTCCAGAACAGGGTTGTGCCTTTACAGCTCGTACCTCAGATATTCTGCTAAAAAACATCTGTTTGGTTTTCATTATCATGTCTATCGCGTTGAAAACATGAGTTTTAAAGCCATATCAGTTTAAACTTCTTATATACGGTTTTCTGAGCGCGCACACAGAAAGCAGTTGTCACACAGCATGTGAGTACTAAACTAAGTTCTCTTTCATGTCATATTGCAATTAAACTGTCAAATACACAAGTTTGTTAAAAACAAACACAAGTTTCAAAATTACAGTTGATTATGTCTGTGAAGGTTAACAGCTGGGAAAGAAAACGCATCTTTATATAGATCTGTGTATTAACTGACAACACTGTAATATAAAGAACCTATACTGCTGTCTACACAGTTAATATGACCCAAAAAATAAAATAAAAACAGAAAATTACTCACTGCTATTGAATAAATAATTTCTGTATCTTTAATAAGAAGACATTTCTTACTTGAATGCTGCTTTTAAATGCTCTAGCGTGAAGATAAACTTGGCGGATCGTGTGCGGTTTGTTCAGGGCGGGGTCTCTGCTAATACGGCAGTGTCAATCAACAGCCGTGGGCGGGGCTTGTGCAAAGTGACATCACATTGTAACGATTCAGCGAACGGCTTGTTCTGAGACACTGCTTATGATTAATGGGGATAAAAAAAATGAGCGGGTGGATTTTTATCATTGTACGGAGGTTGCGTGCACACACTGCCAACAAACATTTATGTTTAAACAATAAGTAAAAGTGATAGCATAATAGGTGCCCTTTAAGATTGATGTCAAGTGTCAATGTTTCTGGGTACAAACATTCAATCAGATGCTAAAAGCAAACAACAAACCGTGCTAATATACACTCACAGTGTGCTGTAATACTACAAAAAAAAAAATCATGATCCTAACCTTTATCTCCATACTAAAATCTCAGATGGTCAGACAGTGATTCAGCTTTAAAAATATTGGTGCATGGGGCGCCATGACCCTGGAGACTGTAGTTTAAATTATGAATTTTTAAAAGCTTAGCTTAAATGTGGGATACTGTATGAATGAATAGTGCTAATAAACAGCTGCTGAAATATTATTTAATTGAAACAGAATCAGTATTCCTTACGTCACAACTTAAGCGGATTGAAGACATTCCAAAACAAGTATTAAAAAAAGCTCCATGCTAACTGTTAGCTGGAGACAAGCAGGTCATGGGTTAAACGATTTATAAAAATACAAAAAAAACGTATAATATGTGCAGTATACATGTGTGCAGTGTATATGTGCAAGTTTTCAAATTACATCAAGTTGAAATATATATAATATATAGCCTAATAAGTGAGTGATGCACTGATATTAGACAATTGTATTTACGCTGCAAAACAAGTATCTGATTGCGAGTAAAAATATCTCAACATCGTATAATATATGTTTATTTTATTGCCAAAACTGCATAAAATTGGATTAAAACATTTAAACATATTTTGCCAAATGGAATGGATGAGAATAATTCTTCCCTAAAAACATTTTCTAAAAAGCCTTTTATATACGATTTTGGCAAATGTATGTGTTTTATGGCTATTTGGATGTTTTTATTCTAAAGGGATAATGAATGATTTTTAGCAATGCAATGTAAAGGCATCAATGGCACTTACACTCCATATCTAATATTTTTCTAGCATCCTGTAAGATATTGTGAAACAAGGTAGTTTAATATGTTTAGAGATATGCATATGTAAATGATATACAAATGGGGGTATGGATAGTAAAACGAGGTGTTGTAAACCTTGTACGTGCCAAAGATTTCTAAATAGCTCATTTTGTGCAGATTCTGATTTACACATCTGCCTTTTGTGCATCCATGCAATTTTAGAATGAAATATTATACACAAAGCTTTATACATGAAGCCCCAGTTCTTTTGTGCAAAAAAAATTAGAGATCAAAATAATGAGATACATTAATCCAAACAGTTTAGTAGACAATCTCTAAACTGTTATTTAACAATGAAGAGGTGTGGTCAGTCTAACTACTACTAATAATAAGGTAACAAGATGCTTTATATTAGATTTTATATATGAAATATAAGCACACGTCCAGTTAATAATAATATAGTGACCTACATTCCATTTTGATTGCCTGTTTAGACAGAAGTTCAGCAGGGGCTCTGACATAAACAGAGAAAGAAGTGAGACAGAGACAGAAATCAAGAAACGACAGAAGGAGAACGCAAGCGGAAGAGCAGTCCTGTTGCTTTTCGGCAGGATTTGTGTCACGCAGGATGAATAATTGCAGTGGATGGGTGTGTGAGATCAGAAGGCGTGGAAGGTGAGCGGGGTGTGGAGACGGAGCAGAGGTCTCACTCACAGCGCACAGAAAGAATGTGGAACAAAATGCAGCCCCTCTCTCCTGAGGATGGGGTCGCCGCTGCGTTCACACCGCCTTACAGGCGAATGTGTGAGGCTCTTTCCATCCCCCCTCGGTTAAACTCGCTCCCTCATACTGTCTATCTCCTCCACACACCCGTTTCTCTGCCTCATTGACATCAAAGCAGCGCTGGAACCCATTAAAGCAGACAGACTTGCTGAAAAATAAACCATCGCTGGCTGGTGCAAAATAACTGGCCGCTCTGTGTCCAGACTAAAGGCCGGGCGCGGAGGCTGTGAGACGGACAAAGAAAAACACTGCAGATCCTACAGCAGGACACTAAACATGCTCGCTGTCTCATGGTTTAATGCAGAAGACAGAAATCTGGCATGCAAAAGTATGTGCGAGAATATCTGTCAGTAAAATACATTGTACAAGTGGCAAACTGAGAAGCTGCGGTTGCTATTCTACAACCTAAATCAAACCGCACTGTAACTTCAGAACTATTTTCTCAGACAAAAGGATATACCGGATTTGACTGAAAAATGACTAGACATATAAACATACTATTATGAATAAATTTAGCATGGCAAGCTGAACTGCTGTCATGTGCATTGGGGTTTTTGTGAGCGATCATGCTTGGGACAGGCCTAAGTTTCTTGTGCCCCCTGGTGGAATGCAGCACTTTTCTACAAGGATCTTCCACCTGATTAGAGGCGACCAAGCATACTACACTTCAGCCTTACGACTACCCAGTGCGTTTATGTCATGTCAGAATGATTGTATTTACAAGCTGAGCGCCACCATGAAGTCGTAGTTACAAGTAGAAGATTTACTGACTTGGCAAGTTGTGTCAAAATAAAGATTTATGGCAGAAGCAAATTGGTATTGATCATAATAAGTTGTGATTGTGAATGTTGATGGTACAATTTAGTTTTGTGTACACTTAATGAAGGCTGATTTAACTGTTTTATTTGGACCAAACTAACACAGGACAAAATACAGAGAAAGGGTCAGTTAAACACCTAATGTGCACTGTTTACTCTTTACTAGCACTACCGCTAAAATATGTAGTTTCTTTGTCAACAAGTCAAACTGTCCAACAATTTTTCATCTGTCTTATTGTTTTTGAAAGAAGTCTCTTATGCTCACCAATGCTGCATGTATTTAATCCATAATACAGTAAAACAGTAAGAGATTTATTTCAATTTAAATGAACTACTTTCTATATTAATATATTTTTAAAATGTATTTTTTTCAGTGATGCAAAGCTGATTTGTCAGCAGTTATTACTCAGCCTTCAGTGTCTCATGATCCTTTAGAAATCATTATATGCTGATTTGCTGCTCAAGAATGTTGAAAATATTTGTGCTGCTTAACATTTTTGTGATAAATCTTTACTGTTACTTTTCATTAATGTACCCTTGCAGAATAAAAAAAAAAAAAAGTTTGAACAGTAGTTTATATTTGAATGCATTTATCTCCTTTAAAAGTCATGCAGAAACGTGTCATGTCTGTTCGCAGAGGAAGACACCACAAGTAATACTGAAGAAACTACTTCAAACACTGAACAGCTGGACTCTAGTCATGAGGTATGTCCTCACACAAACCTTTCCATTTGCTATAGGTGCTGAGTGTGAGAGACACTTTTATTATCTAGTATGAAATATTTCAGTGAGAGAGAAGGGATTAACTACGAACTAAAATTCAGTGCACCCACCACAACATAGCAAAGTTAGATATATCCCCTTTAATCAAAGCCAGCTTTGTTTCCAAATTAATGATATTTCCATTATGCCGACAAAGCCAGCATGCTTGTGCTCTCAATTAATATTCCTTTTATACTTCTGTGTGGAGCACAGCATGTGTTGATCAGTAGTTGTTATTAATCAAGCAACATAAGGTGCAATCTGTTGTTACATTGATTTTGCATTCAAGGACACCGCTAAGTGCTTTTTTGGCACTAGAGAAGTTTTCCGTCCCTGTGATCCTTAACATTGTGCAGAGCAATTTTCATTTTAGTTTTTTTTTTACTTCAGCTTTTTTTTTGTGCCAGAAACACTGATGATCTATGAGCCTGAAAATGTTTAGGAATTCTACAGAATAATTGATTTTGTGAAAATCACTAAACATTTGTCTGGTGCTATTTTCTGTAGGTGTTTAAGGTCAATAAAACTGCAGAGACAATTAACGCTAAGAAGAGGCAGCATCCATTAGGTTCCTACAATAAAACAGTTTGGAAGAGGCAGGTGAGCTTGAACATGATAACATCAGATTGATGTTGACCTCTGGGAAATTTTAGGATAATTTTTGGTGAAAAATCAGATGCTGCTTTCTGTAGGTGTTTAAGGTCAACTCTCATGAAGAAACTAATGCAGAGGAGGAGGAGGAGGAGGAGGAAAATGGTTTAGACTCTGACAATAAACCCATTTATAATGCACAGGTGAGTTTAATTTCATATCATCATATTCTTCCAAACCTGTATGACTTTCTTTCTTTTACATTTTCCTCTGAGTAAGTGAATCAGTAAGTCATGGCAATAACAAATGGGACACAGGATCTATCGATCATATATCATATGTGTGTGAATCTTTCCTGTAGGTATCTAGGAAAGCTCACATGCAACAGAATAATGCAGCGGCTGAAGAGGACGATTTAGGCTCTGACTGTCAGATTATTCAGAAAGAAAGGGTGAGTCTTCCTCTTTTACCTGCATGCAGTTTAGTACGCTATTATAAGATTGGCTATTATAACAAGTCTTAATATTCTGTGAAGCCTAAACCATCTTCAGAGCAGCTGACCAAAGAGCAATAGATTCAGTTGGACATCACAGACTTAAAATATATGAGGTGCTGTTTTCTGTAGGAATATAAGGTCAGATCACATGCAAAGAGAACTAAAGCCAAGAAGGATGACTGTTTAGGTGCTGACAGTGAGATCATCCAGGAGGAAGAGGCGAGTCTTCCTCTTTTAACCGTATGCCATTAAGTACATTATTATGAGATTGGTCACCTTCAACCTCTATAGCCAGAAATTCTTAACAATCTATGAAGCTTAAACCATCTTCAGAGCAGCTGACTTAAGAGCTACAGATTCAGGAGGAAGTCACAATAAAATATGTGAGATGCTGTTTTCTCTAGGTGTTTAAGGTCAGATCAAGTGCAAAGCAGACTAATGCCAAGAGGAAGGATGATTGTTTAGGAGCTGAGGGGGAAATAATCCGTGAGGCACAGGTGAATTTTCCTCTTTTACACTGTGTGTAACACTATTATAAAACTGATTATCTTCACATCGTAATAACATATGCAGCCTAATAATCTATCTTGCTACCATTCAACACGTGGAAGAAGTCTCTTCTGCTCATCAAGGCTGTATTTGTTTGATAAAAAAAATTTTTTAATCAGTAATGTTATGAAATATTACTATAATTTAAAAATAACTTTTAAATTTTGATATACAGTATTTTCAAATGTAATTTATTCCTATGATGAAATTTTGATGAATTTTCAGCAGCCATTACTTTACTCTTCAGTGTCACAAGATCCTTCAGAAATCATTCCAATGATAATGTGGTGCTCAAGAAAAACATAAAAAATACAGTATATATAAATATATATACATATATAGAATTTTGAAATCAGTTGTGATGCTTAATATTTCTGTGGAGACTGACACATTTTTACAGGATTCTCTGATGAACAGCGTTTATTTAAAATAGGTGCCTTTTGTAATATTATAAATATTTTACTGTCACTTTTGATCCATGTCCTTGTGCAATAAAAGCATTGTTTTGTTTTTTACTTCAAAATAAATAAATAAACACATAACCCCAAACATTTGAATGGTATTGTATGAGTGATGCCATTTTCTGTAGACATTTAAGGTGAGATCCCATGCAAACCAGACTAAAACCAAGAGGAAGGAGGACTGTTTCAACTCTGACAGTGAAATAATTCAGGATGAACAGGTAACTGGTATAACATGTTGCATGCCATTATGAGTTATCCATTAACGCCTGGCTTAATCTTACTGAGTCTTATCCCGTCTCTTTCAAGGTCTATTTACCTGAGGAGAGATTAGAGGAAATGAGCAGCTCCACGGCTCACCAGCTCAACAAAACCGGTAACCCGAGTTACAGCTCAGCACAGCAACATAAAGAATAATGCTGCTGATCTGGTATCTAAGCTCTACCCTAGATTTTTCCATTTAAGTCTAAGATGGTGTTGAATATCTTCAATAACTGAACATTCAGAGTAGATGCAAAAAGATGGAGCAAGAACAACCCTCAAAAGTTTTACCTAAACTATAAATAGTTGTGATTCACAGGAGAGGAGACCACTTGGGTGCAAAGAAACCGAAAAGTAAAGACAACTTTACAACTTTACAGCCGAAAACAAAGGTGACACGGGGGTCAAGGAAGTCCAAAGGTGCTGCGCCTGCTATCAGCCCTAAATCAACACATTTCACTCCCAGAGCACATTCACCAGAGTCTTTGTCTCCTGAAGGACAGGCAGAAATACAGACAGGATTACCAATGGAGGCAGAGTGAGTCTCAGTCACATGTAATATCGAGCTCTTGTGTTTGTGTTTATAAAATCAGTACAGATGCACAGGACTGTTAAGTATGATTGACACGCTTGTGTATTTGAATTCCAAAAGCCAAATGACAAGAATTGTTCCCAGTGTGCATATGTAACCCCTCTATCCAAATAAATAATGAATAAGGGATTGCGTTATGTTGCAAATGTTTATATTATTGTGCTAAATTGTGACCCGGTCAGAGTGAAACTGGTAACAAAATACTGCTTTAGATAACTAGCAGTTATAGTTTATAATTATAGTTTATCAGAAAGGGTTGGAGGGGTTTTAATAATAAATATGTCCCAGTGCTCTTTGTAATTTCTGGCTGGTAAATCCATCCTTTTAATTTCCCCAAACTCCTCCCTCTCGCTTTTGGCCACTTCATCAGTTCTTACATCTTCAATCATCAGCCAGCTTGCGTTCCCGTTGTGTTTTGGTGTACACAAAGCAGGTTGCGACTTCAGGTCACAGGTCAGACAGAGGTCAAACAGCTTGGCTCCAAGGTTTTTGGGACTCATTAATATTCTGTCTAATCATTGTTTGCATTCCTCTCTCGTCACTCCATCCGTCCCAGTCTCCGGCGATCTTTGATTGTAGCTCAGATTTCAGCCCGAACCCTTCTCAGGCCCTGTGAGCGGTGAGAAAGCCGAGAGGAGATTAGGGTATCGCTTCACATCTGAGCTCTTATCAGTAAATCTCTCTCACTCCGTCTGGGCTATATCTTAACTTCTGAACTTCCGACACTCTCCTCTAAATGATTCCCAATAATTTATATGATATCCGTTGTTGTTAGTTTTGACAGAAAAGGTCATTCGGAAAACACAGGTGGAAGAGAAGATGCAGAACACATGCTGGTGGAGAAAGTGAAGAAAAATAAAAAGTCTAGTAAGCAAACAGGCAAAACAAAAGGGAAGGGTGTTCAAATTCATGAAGACATTGAGACCCAGAATACCAGTGTCCCTGAGGATCCCACTTATACTTCAAAAAAAGTGAGTTACATACTAGTTCATATGCTCTTATTGATGAAATATGCCTTATATTTGTCATAATATGCTCTCAATCTGCAGAAGAAAAAGAAAATGAGAAAACAGAAAAAAGAAGAAGCTGAAGAAGAAAAGGAAGAGCCTATAAAAGCCCAGAATTCAACGGTTAAAGTTAAAAAGAAAAATGGTCAACCAGCATTTGTTGTAGGTATGTTTATGTTAAGATTTAAAGGCATAGTGAATAGTTAAAATTTCTATCATAAAACATTAATATGATTCAACACTTACAGTAAAAGTGTCAAAACAATTGTTTAAAATAATAAAAAAATTCTAAGTAAACTACTGTTCAAAAGTTTGAGGTGAGTTTGATGTTTTATCTTTATTTTATTATTTATTTATTTGGAAGAAATTAATACTTTTATTCAGCAAGGAAGCATTAAATAGATCAAAAGTGACAGCAAAGAAATGTATAATATTATAAAAATAATAATATTTCCAATTTTTAACTTTCTATTCTATTTCAAAGAATCATGAAAAAATGTTCACACAAAAATATTAATAAGCACAACTGTTTTCAACATTGATAATAATAATAAATGTTGTTGTTTTTAGCACAAAAGAATATATTAGAATATTAGAAGAATATATTAGCATATTAGAATGATTTCTGAAGGATCATGTGACACTGAAGACTGGAGTAATGATGCTGAAAATGCAGTTTTGCCATCAAAGGAATAAATTATATTGTAAAAAATATTAAAATAGAAAACTGTAATTTTAAATTGTAATAATATTTCACAATGTAACAAATTTTTGCTCTATTTTTGATCAAATAAATGAAAATAAAAATACTTATTTTAAAAACATATTTTTGAACAGTAGTGTTTATTTTTCTTTATTAGAGTATTGCACTGTACTTCTTCCTTATGATACTTCTTTAGAAGAAAGCTGCCTATGTAGGCAGTAGGCGACTTATTTGATTCTAAAACAAAACTTATTTTTTCTTAAACAGAAAAAAAATTAAGAGCATGTGAAAGAAAATCAAATTTCAATGCATCTGTTTTAGGATAACCTCGGCCACAGGACGTGGAATGGATGGCAAATCCAGTGGATAAGAGAAAGGTGACGACTCACGACTACAAAACACAGAGAACACACCAGAACACACCTATATTGACTCTGACGATGACATGGATGCTGATACAGACTCAGAGAGTACAGACACACATGAAGCACACGAAATCTCTCCCAGATCAGTTTACAGCACTTATACAGATCGCAGCGCTCACTCATTACAGCTCGTTCAGATGCCAGCATTCACAGACTCTCACAGAGCTCCATCAGAACCAGCTCGATGGGGACGATATCCCACTGCAGCCCATGCAGCCCAGCCCACCTGCCTCCTCAGTCAGCACTCCCTTCTGCCTCAGACCCCACTACATCTGAGCCAGGCAATGACGTGAGTATTTCTCATTTAACAGCTAGCTATTCATTTGAATACACATACTATATGTTTGAATCAGTCAGACTGTCAGTGGATTAGTAGTGAGGATTTTACCGTGTCATTGTTATGTCAGAAGTGACTGTCTATAAATAAGTCAACAAACCATTAATTCAAAGATTTGTTTAAGCATACTGATTAATTCTGGAACGAAATAAGTGAGTATTTGAATTGTTCACTAAACCGATTCATTCAATAACACTGACTCATCCAGGAACAAAACACCACTAATGTTTGTTGCACTGTATGTATGTGCAGCTGATGATTTTTCTTTTACTTTGTTTGCAAATATTTTCATTTATGTAGCAAATGTAGACATAGTAGAAATTGTCTTTAGAAATAAGGAAATGTTTTGTCTAGACAGCAAGCTACTCAGTGTCAGCTCACTTTTCAGCAGCCTTGGTTTGCCAAAACTTTTTTCCCATATGGAATTTTTTTTTTTTTTTTTTAAGTCTTCGTTTAAAAATTATAAGCTATAAACCAAACCAACCAGCTACGAGCTGGATCACAACAATACAAAAATTTGAAAATCAGACAAAAAGACTTTTACTTTTTGTACTTTCCAGCTTTAACAAGGGAAAAAAACAATCCCTTGAAACATTGCGAATGACAATATCGTATAAAAAACAACAGATATATAACTTTTGATTTAAATGTGTTGATTACATAGCCTATATATAAACCATATACTTTAAGGTAAATAAATAATTGGTAAAATATACATATTATCCATAGAAATATTTAAGCAGTTTGAGGATGTAAGAAGACTGACGGACTATCAAGTCATGTCCCGCTGTTAATTTGAATATCAACACTCTTGTTCACATGTGCTTAAGTACTGATAAAGACTGGTAAAACAATCACCTGTCATGTTACTGTCATATTCATATGTTACCATACCATATATGTTAAACTGATTTTACTATTAGGTTAAAAGCAACAAGGTTCCAACTAACCAAACAGACAAAAAAGCTGAAAGGGCCGAGCACCGTCATCTGGAGGTGGAGAAGAAACGGAGGGAGAGATAGGAGGAAAAGAAGAGACAGCAAGAAAAAGAGGCGACAGAAGAGAGGATGAGGCTGGAACTGGAAGAAGAACAGAGGAGGAAAGCAGAGGAAGCGAGGTACAATGTGTCACTGCTCTTTGGAAACAAATACTGTAACAAAATACACTATATCCTGCAGACACTGGCAAGAAACTATCACTGACACATATGCAGGTGACGGAAGATTAGAGTAGAAGATGAGAGACAAAGAAGACAGGAGGAGGAGATGGAGAGACAGAGGAGAGAGCGGGCAGAGAAGGACAGAGAAAGAAGACGACAAGAGGAGAAGAGAAGGCTGCTGGAAAGGCTCCAGAGAGAAAGACAGGAAGAGGGAAAACGACAGGCTGGTAAATACCTGTGCAGTCATGGTTTCTGATTGGTCAAGGCCCTTACAACATGACAGTCTTGATATCTCTTGGACTGAATTCTGCTTTTGTATGACTACCGTGAGAAGAACATACAACAGGATCTGAAGCAAGATAATGACTATGTTCCAAACCCTAGCAAACTGCCTACTCCCTACATATACAGATGCCTTCGAAGATGTGAGCCCTGCTACGTATGTATGTGCCTTACTAGGTTTTGGAAACAGAGCAGATATCTTACTATCTGCACAAGTTTACCTACTACTGCTGATTTAATACACAGCAACTGATTTAAACATTTGTGCTGTAATGTGGCTATGGTCTGGATTTCAGCCTTGATAAAAGCGATACTGACCACAGTACAGTCCCAAATTGCACACTTGACAGACTTGCGGTCTTGTGTCCTTCACTTGCATGTGTCCATGAAATCAGTAAAACCGAAGGCAGTCCAACTGGTCATTTTATGATTTAAGAGGGTGCTCACAAGGGCTTTATGGCCAGTGTGAGGCTTTGATGCCAAGCCCAAAGACTATTACCCAACAGTCTATGCAGCATTGCATCACCATCCTAAGTGGACCACACAGATCAGTATACATCCTGCAGCATAAAAATGTAAATATCCTGCTTCATGAATAAGTGAACAAATGAATGAATGAATGTCCTCATTTTCAGCCCAACTGGAACATCAGTGTATGGAAGAGGAAGCTCAGAAGGAGGAGGAGCTCAGGAAGCTGTCAGAGATGGAGGAGGCTGAGAGACTGGAGTACCTGCGCAAGACAGCAGGAGCAGGAGGAGGAGAGGAGGAGGAAGCAGCGACGCACGCTGAAGAAGAGGCCAGGCTGCAGGCTGAACTGTTTGCCAGGTATGTCACAGCTGCAGCACACATCTCAGCTCTCGTTCATAGGGTTCCTACATGTGAGAACATTACAGCTACACTATGTACATTTTGGCTATCTAGCGGTTGTAGCATAAAACCAAAGCGTCATGGAAGAATAATGAAAGTCAGTAATCTAGGATTACCATAGTGATTTAGGGTAAAGGTGATTTACTATAGGCTAAGACAAAAACACAGTTTGGAAGTTTTACAATTTTAACACTGAAACATAATACAGGCATTTTTATCTGTGCAGGAACCCTTTTGTGAAGTCTAGTGTATTTCTCTCTATGACAGGCAGAGGGCAGCACTGGAGCAGCACTTAAAGTTTCACAGGGGTCTTTTTGTGGAGGCTGAAGGGCTGGAGCAGACACAGGATATCTCTCGGCCCTGGATTTTCTCCTATTTCACCCTGTTGAAGCTGCTTGGCTTGGCTGAACCCACATCTGAGGACACACTCAAAGATGTGCTGTAATTCCTTCATTTGGGTTCATTCAGTAAATTCTCGCAACTAGTGATTCAGTTATGTGCCATTTTCTTCGGTAGGTGAACAATCTGTGTCACATGTGAATCAATGTGTGTTAAACTGCTGGATTGCTCATATTCTCAGATATCTAACTCTGGCATCTCAACATATTAGCACTTCTGAATTCTAGACCTGAAAAGTAATGTCAATTAATAAATATTAAAAGCATTTTCATTAAGAGTGCATTAAGAGATTTTTCTACATATGCCAAGCACTAAAATTCATTCAAATATTGTTGTGGACAAAGATTGGGAGTCAAATGAGGGTCAAAGACGTTTGAGAACCACTGGCATAGATTGAGCAGCGTCCTCTACTGCATCTTTTGTCACATAAACAAGATGACAGATTTGTTCAGGTACAGTATATGCTCATATTTTGGAGTTAATTTCAATCTATAGTAGAAAATGAAAGATCACAACATGCACAGCATCAGCATCTAGAGGGTAAAAAGACAAGCAAGCACCAGTGAGTTCATCTTTTGACTGAATGGAATGAATATGTTTCAGATGTGAAAAGCTTGTGCCCGACAAGGGTTAAAAGACCTAAAATATCTGTAAGTGGAAAAATATGTGCAAACATTCTTCATAAGTTAATAAAAATAGTGTGGAAACATTAACACAAAAGTTACATAATACCACAATTCATAATTAACACCTGCTTCATTATGTGACAGATAATAATAAAGACTGCTAAATGTAAAGAAATGAATGTCTCTTCTCTGCAGTGCTATGACATGAGCCACCGTACCATCTTCACCTGCTTTGACCAATTGGTTTTTAAAAGTTGTCTTCGTGCAGATTTGGACCGAGCTTTCGTTACATTTAAACAATTTTGACCAACAGGTGTCGCCAGCGTATGTGTTTCGAGTTTATTTTGAATAGGCCTCGTTTCACCTATAACTGCCTCGGTAAAGGAAAGCCTGTGGAAAAATCATAAATCTCCATCAAAATCCCTTTTTTGTGCTTGAGAGAGAGAGAGAGAGAGAGAGAGAGAGAGAGAGAACTCATCATCCCATCCACCAAACTGCCTGGAGTGGCTCAGGGAAGAGACTCAGGAGGAATGCGTATCTGGTATAAGTCCAGCTCCTCAGTCAGCACTCCCTTCTGCCTCAGACCCCACTACATCTGAGCCAGGCAATGACGTGAGTATTTCTCATTTAACAGCTAGCTATTCATTTGAATACACATACTATATGTTTGAATCAGTCAGACTGTCAGTGGATTAGTAGTGAGGATTTTACCGTGTCATTGTTATGTCAGAAGTGACTGTCTATAAATAAGTCAACAAACCATTAATTCAAAGATTTGTTTAAGCATACTGATTAATTCTGGAACGAAATAAGTGAGTATTTGAATTGTTCACTAAACCGATTCATTCAATAACACTGACTCATCCAGGAACAAAACACCACTAATGTTTGTTGCACTGTATGTATGTGCAGCTGATGATTTTTCTTTTACTTTGTTTGCAAATATTTTCATTTATGTAGCAAATGTAGACATAGTAGAAATTGTCTTTAGAAATAAGGAAATGTTTTGTCTAGACAGCAAGCTACTCAGTGTCAGCTCACTTTTCAGCAGCCTTGGTTTGCCAAAACTTTTTTCCCATATGGAATTTTTTTTTTTTTTTTTTAAGTCTTCGTTTAAAAATTATAAGCTATAAACCAAACCAACCAGCTACGAGCTGGATCACAACAATACAAAAATTTGAAAATCAGACAAAAAGACTTTTACTTTTTGTACTTTCCAGCTTTAACAAGGGAAAAAAACAATCCCTTGAAACATTGCGAATGACAATATCGTATAAAAAACAACAGATATATAACTTTTGATTTAAATGTGTTGATTACATAGCCTATATATAAACCATATACTTTAAGGTAAATAAATAATTGGTAAAATATACATATTATCCATAGAAATATTTAAGCAGTTTGAGGATGTAAGAAGACTGACGGACTATCAAGTCATGTCCCGCTGTTAATTTGAATATCAACACTCTTGTTCACATGTGCTTAAGTACTGATAAAGACTGGTAAAACAATCACCTGTCATGTTACTGTCATATTCATATGTTACCATACCATATATGTTAAACTGATTTTACTATTAGGTTAAAAGCAACAAGGTTCCAACTAACCAAACAGACAAAAAAGCTGAAAGGGCCGAGCACCGTCATCTGGAGGTGGAGAAGAAACGGAGGGAGAGATAGGAGGAAAAGAAGAGACAGCAAGAAAAAGAGGCGACAGAAGAGAGGATGAGGCTGGAACTGGAAGAAGAACAGAGGAGGAAAGCAGAGGAAGCGAGGTACAATGTGTCACTGCTCTTTGGAAACAAATACTGTAACAAAATACACTATATCCTGCAGACACTGGCAAGAAACTATCACTGACACATATGCAGGTGACGGAAGATTAGAGTAGAAGATGAGAGACAAAGAAGACAGGAGGAGGAGATGGAGAGACAGAGGAGAGAGCGGGCAGAGAAGGACAGAGAAAGAAGACGACAAGAGGAGAAGAGAAGGCTGCTGGAAAGGCTCCAGAGAGAAAGACAGGAAGAGGGAAAACGACAGGCTGGTAAATACCTGTGCAGTCATGGTTTCTGATTGGTCAAGGCCCTTACAACATGACAGTCTTGATATCTCTTGGACTGAATTCTGCTTTTGTATGACTACCGTGAGAAGAACATACAACAGGATCTGAAGCAAGATAATGACTATGTTCCAAACCCTAGCAAACTGCCTACTCCCTACATATACAGATGCCTTCGAAGATGTGAGCCCTGCTACGTATGTATGTGCCTTACTAGGTTTTGGAAACAGAGCAGATATCTTACTATCTGCACAAGTTTACCTACTACTGCTGATTTAATACACAGCAACTGATTTAAACATTTGTGCTGTAATGTGGCTATGGTCTGGATTTCAGCCTTGATAAAAGCGATACTGACCACAGTACAGTCCCAAATTGCACACTTGACAGACTTGCGGTCTTGTGTCCTTCACTTGCATGTGTCCATGAAATCAGTAAAACCGAAGGCAGTCCAACTGGTCATTTTATGATTTAAGAGGGTGCTCACAAGGGCTTTATGGCCAGTGTGAGGCTTTGATGCCAAGCCCAAAGACTATTACCCAACAGTCTATGCAGCATTGCATCACCATCCTAAGTGGACCACACAGATCAGTATACATCCTGCAGCATAAAAATGTAAATATCCTGCTTCATGAATAAGTGAACAAATGAATGAATGAATGTCCTCATTTTCAGCCCAACTGGAACATCAGTGTATGGAAGAGGAAGCTCAGAAGGAGGAGGAGCTCAGGAAGCTGTCAGAGATGGAGGAGGCTGAGAGACTGGAGTACCTGCGCAAGACAGCAGGAGCAGGAGGAGGAGAGGAGGAGGAAGCAGCGACGCACGCTGAAGAAGAGGCCAGGCTGCAGGCTGAACTGTTTGCCAGGTATGTCACAGCTGCAGCACACATCTCAGCTCTCGTTCATAGGGTTCCTACATGTGAGAACATTACAGCTACACTATGTACATTTTGGCTATCTAGCGGTTGTAGCATAAAACCAAAGCGTCATGGAAGAATAATGAAAGTCAGTAATCTAGGATTACCATAGTGATTTAGGGTAAAGGTGATTTACTATAGGCTAAGACAAAAACACAGTTTGGAAGTTTTACAATTTTAACACTGAAACATAATACAGGCATTTTTATCTGTGCAGGAACCCTTTTGTGAAGTCTAGTGTATTTCTCTCTATGACAGGCAGAGGGCAGCACTGGAGCAGCACTTAAAGTTTCACAGGGGTCTTTTTGTGGAGGCTGAAGGGCTGGAGCAGACACAGGATATCTCTCGGCCCTGGATTTTCTCCTATTTCACCCTGTTGAAGCTGCTTGGCTTGGCTGAACCCACATCTGAGGAACACGCTGAAGAAGAGGCCAGGCTGCAGGCTGAACTGTTTGCCAGGTATGTCACAGCTGCAGCACACATCTCAGCTCTCGTTCATAGGGTTCCTACATGTGAGAACATTACAGCTACACTATGTACATTTTGGCTATCTAGCGGTTGTAGCATAAAACCAAAGCATCATGGAAGAATAATGAAAGTCAGTAATCTAGGATTACCATAGTGATTTAGGGTAAAGGTGATTTACTATAGGCTAAGACAAAAACACAGTTTGGAAGTTTTACAATTTTAACACTGAAACATAATACAGGCATTTTTATCTGTGCAGGAACCCTTTTGTGAAGTTTAGTGTATTTCTCTCTATGACAGGCAGAGGGCAGCACTGGAGCAGCACTTAAAGTTTCACAGGGGTCTTTTTGTGGAGGCTGAAGGGCTGCCAAACTGCCTGGAGTGGCTCAGGGAAGAGACTCAGGAGGAATGCGTATCTGGTATAAGTCCAGTTTAGCTCACTCTATTAATATTGTTAAAACAGGCCAATTTTATACATGGATAGAAATCAACAGGGCCATCACCTCAATGGAGAAGAACATCTTCCTGTGTGCAACTTACATTCCTCCAAAAGAGTCTACCTACTTCAACAAAGACAGTTTCCCCACCTTAGAAGGAGAGATCAACTACTTCCAGTCACAGAGCAACACACTGATCTGTGGATCTTAAATGCCAGAACAGGTGAAGAACTGGACACTCTTCATTCCCAGGGAGACAAACACATACCAGGAGGTGACATCCTTTCCCTACCCACACAAACCCCAAGACTCAACCATGATAAAACCACAAAGAAAAATGGAGAACACCTTCTACAGCTGTGTCGTGCACTGTGTCTGTGCATAGTCAACGGCAGACTGCGAGGAGATTCGTACGGTAGGTACACTTATAGCTCAGTGCTGGGTAACAGTACAGTAGATTATTTCATCACCGACCTAAATCCAAACTCTCTCAGAGCATTCACAGTCAGCCAACTAACCCCACTGTCAGACCACAGTAAAATCACCCTCTATCTAAACAGATCAAAACCCAACTCAGATGCATCCAAACAAACCCACCTCCACACCCTCAAACACACGTACAGATGGAAACAAAATAGCGAAGATACATATCAAACCGTAATTTGTGAACCAAAAATACAAAACCTATTAAATTATTTCCTAGCTACACCATTCCTACACAACTTTGAAGGGGTCAATTTAGCAATAGACAGGATGAACCAAATAATTGCAATGACTGCAACACTATCTAACCTAAAAACCACGAACAAAAAATAAACAGAGAGCATGTACATGAGAAATGGTTTGACAACGAGTGCAAAAACCTTAGAAAAGAAGTAAGAACCTTATCAAATCAGAAACACAGGGATGCTGACAATGTAAACACGCCACCTCTACCACGAGAAACTTAAACAATATAAGAACATCCGAAGAACAAAAAAGAAACAACATATACAAAATCAGCTAAAAGTAATAGAACAATCTCTAGAATCAAACCGTTTCTGGGAACATTGGAACACACTAAACCAATCTTACCATGAAGAGTTACCCATCCAGAACGGAGATGTGTGGATAAACCACTTCTCTAACCTCTTCAGCAATATAAACAAAAACCATGAACAAAACTCACTATACAATAGACTATGTGTTCTAGAGGCAACCATTAAAGAGTACCAGAACACCCTAGATTATCCTGTTACACTAGCTGAACTGTGCGATAATATACAAACACTTAAATCCCAAAAAGCATGTGGTATTGATGGCATTCTGAACGAAATGATTAAATGCACAGATCAAAAATTCAAACTGGCCATTCTTAAACTGTTTAATATCATCCTTAGTGCAGGTGTATTTCCCAGCACCTGGAACCAAGGCCTCATCACCCCAATTCATGAAAGTAGAGACAAATTCGACCCTAATAACTATCACGGAATATGTGTGAACAGCAACTTAGGTAAACTCTTCTGTAACATCCTAAACCGCAGACTCCTTCATTACCTTACTGACAGAAATGTCCCGAGTAAATGTCAAATCGGCTTCCAACCAAAATAACGCACATCAGACCATATATACACTCTACATACCCTAATTGACAAAAAAAACTAACAAAATAAAATAAAAATCTTTTCATGCTTTGCTGACTTCAGAAAAGCTTTTGACTCCATCTGGCATGAGGGGCTTTTACTTCAATTAATCCAATGTGGCATCGGAGGAAAAACATATGACATCATCAAATCCATGTACACTAATAACAAATTTGCAGTTAAAATTGGCAACAAACACACAGATTTCCTCCCCCAGAGTCGTGGCATGAGACAGGGCTGTAGCTTAAGCCCTACACTATTCAATATCTACATCAATGAACTAGCAAGAGCCCTAGAACAGTCCCCAGCACCCGGTCTTACCCTACTAGACACTGAAGTTAAATGTCTTCTGTTTGCGGATGGTCTAGTGCTGCTGTCACCCACAAAAGAGGGTCTACAGCAGCACCTGGACCTCCTGCATACCTTCTGTCAGACATGGGCCTTGTCAGTTAACCTTAAAAAGACTAAAATTATGATATTCCAAAAAAGGGCCAGTTACGAAAACCAAAATTACAGTTTTCAACTGGCTACCAAAAGAAGACAGATTGTGTCCACACTGCACACAACATGAAGTGGAAACAGAACTGCACTTTTTAACAACATGCCCTAATTACACACAAATTAGGGAAACATTCTTCCCCCAATTCACAAACCAGCACAAAGACTTCAACCAGATACAACAAAAGGACAAACTGCCATACATTCTGGGAGAAACCTCAACAAGCTCTAACCTGGCTGCAAGGTACGTCAAGTCCTGCCACGATAAAAGGACAAGCAGTAGAACAGAACCACAAGTCACAGCCGGAATAAAACACTGTACAACACACATAAACTGACATGACAGGATCCAGTCCTTCTCCTGTCTCTTTATTAGTACTTTAATTTTACTATATACAGATATATAGACTCTATATGCTATATACTTCTATTCTTATGTATATTTGTGTTAAATGTCTATTTAAATGTTTCTATGCTTTGGCAATGTAAATATACTTTTTTACCATGCCAATAAAGCTACTTGAATCTGAATCTGAATCGGAGAGAGAGAGAGTGAGAGAGAGCTTGAAGTTACCTTCCAGCTTCTTTTTGCTGCAACATCTAACGTTACGCTCCTAGAGAGAGGACTGCTGGCTTCTGATAGCAGGAAAAAGTAAAGTACATTTGGCTGCATGGGGAACACTTCCCCAGTCTATTTAGAACAGCCTAACTTATCTATTTTAAATAAAAGTTGCTCCAGAAGAATGCTGGATAGACACGAATGTGCTCCCTCCTTCAATTCGTGCCTTCAATCCTGATGAATAACATAAATACATATATTTTTTTTCTAATCTGTCTGGGACAAAAATAAAAGTGCGCAAAGTGCTGTTTAAATGTACTGTACGCTAATCACCAACACTGACACTGGCTAAAGTGGAAGTTGCAGAATAAAAGACCTAAATATGATTTTTCCTTGCTGTAACAAAATAATAAACATAACAAGCTTTCAGATGTTTTGCTTCTTTGTTTGCTTGACAGATGGTGGGAGCTGCATTTTCGACTTTGACCAAGGTGACACCTGTAGGTTATGCATGTTAGCAGCAATAAGCAATACATTACATTTAAATAATACTACAAATGAACTGACTCTCCATTAAAAGGATCCATTAGGCTTCTATTCAAAAAGAGAAGAAATACCTGCAGGCAAAAAAAATGTTGTGAAAAAGTGCCATAGTTTGTGTGAATAAAAAAATGTCTCCTGAAACAAAAGACATTAACCTTTAAATATTTAATTCTGGTCTCATTTATTCAGTTAGACTTTTAATGAGAAATTGCTTTTTTCTCTTGTTGTCACCATAATAAATTAAGATAGCAATAATGGGAAATTATAATATATGGGGAAAAAATAATAATACTACATATCAATATTGCATACAAGTCCATGTTCACATAATACTGTATAGGATACAATGAATGAATCCTCCAGTGATCAAAGAGCTCAGAATGTTGTTTTCTTTTCCCACTGTTGTGTTTCCAGCCTCTGACTCTGCTCACACATCCACTGACACATCCACCATCCTATTTTACTGGAGTTTAGTCCGCTGAGGGAGTCAAAGCTAAACAATAAGAAACAACAATATATTTACCTGCTGTTTTCCTGATTAGAATCAGATAAACACGGGAACCAATAAAAATTAAAAAGATATTATTATAATTTCTATGCTCCCATGAACTCACTTATGCTTGCAGGGTCTACAATCTGGACAGGAATGGCCTGTCCATCCTCCAACAGGATTTGTGTGATGCCACCGTCAGCGGCCGAGGCCACGCTCACCAGCTGACTCATGCCGTCACACACAGTTACGCTTTCACCAGCACTGGGACTCGACTGCAGGAAGTGGGACGGACTCAGCAGGACAGGCTGTGGGGGTGCAGGGCTGGACAGCTCTTGGGCTTCTGGTGGTGCTGCTGTAGGTTGAGCAGTTTCTTCCACTGGACACAAGGCAGGCTGTAGCTGGATTGCCTGTCGGACAAGAGAGAAGAGTCTAATGATCTGATAGTTTTGGAGAGTTTTACCACATGACATTTGACCTTGATGCACAGTCATGACGGTTTTCAGGGATCCTCTCTATGAAAGCATTTCCTGTTTTATGTTGTTTATCAGTATGTTGGTCTTTAATTTGGCGGACAAAAGTTTGTCAAATATTAATAAGTAGTGAAGCAGTTTTTGTTAAGAATATATATTTCAAGAAACAAGAACAGAAATATCTGCACATACACACTCATGTTTTATAGAGTAGTAGTAGTATATTTTTATTTAATGCTATGTCAGCATCTTTTCATGGCAAAAACGATTAAAAAAATACAAGTATAACAAATACAATGAAAACCAGCAAACAAACAAACAAGTTATATTACACAAGATTTTTTACATTATCATATGATAAAAATTCTAAAACTTTTTCTGGCAAAATTATACTAAACTCTTTAAGTGAGTTCAGTTCATAAAAGAGTTTTCTACATACATTAAAAGCGGGACAGTCCAATAAAACATGTCTGAGGGGAATCTTGCAGAACTGTTTTATAGTAGAAAAAAAGTGGCCACAGTTGTTTGTGTGGAGAAACAAGTGGCTTTAGAAATACAAGACTTGAAATCTCATTCATTCAGTCCTACTCTAACTAATGAGCAATTGCTTTTTTCCCTGGTTGTCACCATAATAATTTAAAATAGCAACAAAGGAACATTTATTTTTTTTAAAGTCAAAATTAATAAGCAGTGAAGCAGCTTTGGTTAAACATTTTTCTAAGAAATAATAATAAAAAAGTATGAAAAAATATGACTTTTTTCATTATGTTATCAGCTCAGTTAATCATCTTGAAACATGAATTTATGCTCCCCAAATTAATTTTTCCATTTGAATTCAACACTAAAAAACATGCTCATCATTAAAGAGATATAAACACCTTATTATATGTTTGAATAGCATTTTTTATGTATTTTTGAAGTAAGTTAATAGATTAAAACTGCAATTCTTATATCAGTTCAGGACATGGTCACCTGGAGATGTGCAAAGATCTTGGGCTGCAGTGAGGTGAGAGAGCTGAAGAGCTGCACAGCCTCTGGAGAAAGAGTGTCACTTCCTTCCAGGAGCCCTTCCTTCTGAGAGGATACTGTCAATATAACAGCAGTACACTAGATAGTGTGGCAGGGTAAACAATGGTTATACTTTGACAGTTTGGTGCTTTCTTTTTGAAGTAAGACTCTCCTCCACTCTCTTATACTGTATTGAATGATTCCAAAATGTTTAAGGCTGGAATACAGTACACAAATGCACTCTAGGCATCACACACTTGCTGACTTTGTAAATGGTTACTGGGCATCATACATTAAACGACAGTCCTCCAGATTGCAAATTGGGGCAAAATTCTGTAAAAAGTTCTGTAATGCATTCCAGCCATAACACATTAAACATTTATTGTTTTAATAAAGTAGCTCAAATTTTAAACAACATTTCAACAGTATTTTACCGCCCACAGTAGCAGGAGTCAGGGCCAAGGTCAAAGTCTCCGGAAGCAAGTTATTAGCCTCTGCTTTCCACTGCAAAAAACACACACACACACACACACACACACACACACACACACACACACAAATGAAGGCTTACTACAGAAAATAGCTTGCATATTTGTGCTTATCAAGCATATTTGTGTTTTTATTGGAATATATTTTCCAATAAAAATCCACACTTCTGTGTCTGAGGGAGCCATTGGTCCCGTGGTCATCTGAAGAGCTTTCTGAGCCTCGTGGATGTGGTTCTTGATGTCAATGACAGTGGGAAAGTAACACAGATTGTGTCTCTCAGGCACTTCCTCCGATTTGAACATCTCACGTTCCACAAACCTCCTGCCAGGGTGTTCACAAAGCAACAGTAAATAGTTTTTCAGCAAATGAAAGCAAGGAGATTTGAAAGCATCTGAGTCATACCTGAGCTGCTTGCGGACAGTGTAAACCTCATTATGACCTTGTGCCACCAACTCACAGATCTTCTCTGCAACGAGCGGGTGTAGTCGAGAGGGTAGGGGTGTCCCATCTTCCATCAGGACATCCAGCTCCTCTGTCTCTTCCTCTTCATTTTGTTGTTCCTCTGCGAAGCAGATCTGCTCTGGAAGTGGAGGCAGGTTTGCAGTGTCCACGTCGTGGTACAGGTGGGCTTTCTCTGTGGGAAGCTGGATGTAATACCTGTCACGAATGTAAACGTGTGAAGTGAACCCTGCAGTAAGTCATGTCATGGATTTTTTTAACTGTGCTGGCAAGATGTTTATACCTTTCAACGCCTCCAACATCCCATAAAGTCTTCTTGAGGTTGAAGAAGGCTTTCTCCTGCTCTTGCCGCACTACCTTCTTGTCCACTTTGGGATCTGTTGGAACCTTGTACTCCAAGAATTTTCGTACTTTTTTGATATATATTCTGAAAATGGTCAATTATTATTGTGTCAGTTCACAGAAACAAATCTGTTGGGCTTGGCTCAACTGAAGGTAGTGTACCTGGCAGGGCAGGTTGCTTTGTAGAGGATGCTTTGATTTGTTTCTTGCTCAGACCCTTTTTTAGGTTGAACGCCCTTCCTCCGTGGACCAAACTGGCATTCCATCACAATGGCTCTGCTTCCTTAAAACCGTGTTAAAAACAAGATAAACTGACTTTTGTAAGCATATTGTAAAACTATGACATTATCTTCAACAACAGCATTCGATCAAGGTTTAACAAAAATGTTTGTCTTTAAAAAACAAAAAAAGTATGCTAATTCTACTTCCTATTGCTAGCATTCAAGAAACAGTCTGATTTTTTTAAATTCCGGACACATTTACAAGTACAAATTCATATAAACTACTGTTCAAATGTTTGTTATGCTCACCAAGGCTGCATTTATTTGAACAAAAATACAGTAAAAACAGTACAATTGTGAAATATTATTGTAATTTAAAGTACATTTTTTATATTTGAATACATTTTACAATATACATTTTTCCTCCAGTCTTAAGTGTCCTTCAGAAATCCTTCTAATATTCTGATTTGCTGCTCAAGTAACATTTCTTATTATTATCATCCATGTTTAAAGCAGTTGTGCTGCTTAATATTTCTGTGAAAACTGTGAGATATTTCTTTAGGATTCTTTGATCAATAGAAAGTTCAAAAGACCAGCATTTATTTGAAATATAAATCTTTTAAAATGTCTTTACTGTCACTTTTGATCTATTTAATGCATCCTTGCTGATGTTTTTATCTTACCCCAAACAGTAGTGTATCTGCGATCATTTTTATCTGCTACATTTGTCAACCAATACCACTAGTCTACAGATGATCCCAAAGTTAACAAACATCAACTAAAAGCCAAATAATGTTCAATTTTGAATTCATGGACCTTTCATTTTTCACAATTCTGGCATTAAAATAACATTTACACTACATGACTAAACACCTTTCAGACTTAAAGGGGGGGTGTCTAACATAAAGTCGTAACATAGACCCCACAAGCAAAAAGGGCCAGATTACCTGCATTAACAAAGGGAATGCCATCGTACGGCACATACTGTGATTTCCACATGAGTCTGGTGGCAGGTTTAGCCGGTGAGGGTGACTGACGGGTGCCAAACACGGCGTGGGTCTGCTGCTTGTGTAGAAGCAGAATGGCTTCCAGCTCTGCCTCTGTGTTACAGTAACCACGGTACGAGTCACCAATCTTCTGTTCGTCGTGAAACGCTCATAAAAAAAAAAAAGATTTAACAACAAGCCATATTATTGTGTTGTGTTGCTGGAAATGGATCTGTTTGACAGAGGGCAATTACTGGCTCTACACAAACCAGAATTATAACATTTCATCTATTTCCATGCATATTACACTTTACTTTTAATTGTTTACATTATCATAAGTTAATGTTTTGTCAAAGAATTTAATTTAGCCATTTTCTACAGGACAAACCTCACACCGGCGCAGTCTCAGAGCCCAGGTTGGTGCCCCAGGCGGAAGTGGCTTCACTGGAGGCTCAAATACATCAGGAGGACTGAAATACATGAGAAGACATTTGAAAGAACAATCAATAATTGCAAGTATGCTTGAACTCCACTGTCTGAAGCAGTTTCCTTTTTACAACCAAGGATTAAATTGAGCCAGAACATGGTTTAAAATGTGGCAGAAATCATACGCAAACAAGGCGTACTGACCTTTTCCTGTGAATTTTAATACCAGTGACATTCTGAGCTGCCACTGCAGCTAAACTATGAGTGCCATCACTGTCTTTTATGGATGTGATGATTGTCTGCTGTCTTTTCTCCACAAAGACACCTGTTTAACAAAACAGAAAGAAATGGCAGAACTGAAAAGAATCCTCTCACTAGTTTATATATAGAGTACATCATTACAGAAGTAATATTCAGTATATTTAAATATAATATAAATAATGACCTGATGACTTTGCGACATTCAACAGCTGACCATGAGGTAGTAACATCTGAGCGGCCCCCATCGACACAGATGGGACACTATATAATTGTCCATTCCCCCCTGTCACAATCACCTGGGGGGGGGGGGGAAACTAAACTGTCAACCTCGTCTTCGTCCAGGATTCCTCGCGTCGAAAAACGCGTCAGCTGCGCATCATCCTCTTGCAGATTGAATGCTCACGGCTTCCGTAGGACACACGCTTTCTTTCACTTTGAGCTCTGAAAGGTGCTTTGAAACAGCAAATGATTCATTCTTTAATAAAATTGTATTTCGTTCATTTATATATGACAAGTGCAAGTTTATAAATGCGGGAAATAACTCTTTAATCCTTTTGCTAATAAAACGAGACCTTTAGTTATTTCAATGTATTATTTGTATAAATCAGTTGTATAATAAATAAATGTTTTTGTATTGTTTTGCACATTTATTGTGAAATAGTCCAATTGAAACTGTATAAGAATATTTTACTGCGACCTAAAAACTAAGAATCATAAATGAAATATCTGGGAATAGTCAAAGTAAAATGTCAGAACACTCTTACCAGTAAATCTTACCGTAAATATATCAAAACTTAATTTTTGATTAGTAAAATGCATTGCTAAGAACATCATTTGGCCAACTTTAAAGGCAATTTTCTCAATAGTTATGAACCCTCAGAATCCAGATATTCAAATATTGTCAAATATTGTCCTATCCTAACAAACCATACATCTATTTATTCAGCTATAAATCTCAATTTTAAAACATTGACCCTTATGACTGGTTTTGTGGTCCAGTGTCACATATATTTCATTTAAATATGACAGGTACAGGTTTATAAATGTAGAAATGACTGTAATTTTGACCTTTATGTTATTTCACTGTATTATTTGTATTAAATATATATAAATCCCCATATGTAAGTGTTTTCTGTATGTTTGGACATTAATAATGAACAAGTCCATTTTAAATAATAATAACACACAAAGCCCAGACTTATTATTTATTAGAAATATTATTTCTAATGTTTATATTAGAAATATAAATAATATATTTCTTATATTCCATTCATGATGATGTTCATGAGAACATATTTTCTGTTATACACACACGTCTCACCGGTAAGGGGCGTAGCGCCTTAATAAAACAAAATGAATTCCCTCTTCAAACACTGTGGATGACTTAAATAACAGTTCTCAAATGTTAGGCACAGCAACGTCGTCTCTCGGCATTCCTCTGGAAAAACCAAACAGGGACAGATCTATGGCTGTCACAGACCTGGAGGATTCTGTATGACTGTGTTGAAGCAGCTGATCCTTTGTCAGGTTTAAAACTAACAGGACAGTGTTTGAGCTGAGCCTGTAACAATGAGAAAACGTGAGGAATCTGGGCCTGTGATCCCAGGCTGGGAGTGAGATTAGAGGCCGAGGGTCCCCAGGGCCTCAGAGGGGAGTCCCACCGGCTAGCTCACAGCCTCACACCCAGCCTCAGAGTCTCACACTGAGGTTTTGATGGAACATGTCAGCAGACTCATTTTGAGCTCAAGAACGGAGAAACAGACTCACCGGGAGAACAATTTGCTGTTTGTTCAGAAAAGATCTGGCACTGAGATGCATTCACAGACTTATATACAATGAATGCACACTGAAAATATGTCATATTTCTCAGTGCATTCAGTCAGAAACTCCCTGCGAGGCTGTAGCACACGCCACGTCCAATTATGTGGGCTCCCCTCGGACAAGCTTCTTTCAGCCCCATTTTAGCTTCAAATAAAGTTTGAAATGACAAAAGTGCCAGACGTCTGCCTGTAAGACCATCAACAGGCTATGCATTAATAAAAACAAGTAATAATAAGTAACGCTAAAAGACCATCCCGTATGAAAATTAACCATGGTTTTATTGTAGTAAAAGTATAGTAACCATGGTTTTTTGGCGTATTGATTACCATTTGTATAACCACAGTTTCACTACAAGTACCATGATTAAGAGTACCATTACTACAAGTACCATGATTCAGCTACACTGCAGGCAAAAACACAGTTTTTTTCATGCACTGGTCAAGTTTGAGATTTTGGACTTTTTGGTTTTTCATAACGTGTTTTTTCAGACTAGTGGAAAAAAAACATCCAAAAGACACTGTTAAATGTTTCTTTTATAGCCCTTTATCTATTTGTGTCAATAGTTTTCAATTACAATACATATTTTTAAAGGCCGTTTTCTCTAAATGAGTTTTGTTTGTAGTAAAACCATGGTTATTTTTCATAAGGGATAAAAATTATATGGGGGAAAAAACCTGTTAATTGATTAGTAGTAAGTTTTCATTTAACAGGGAATTTCCTGTAGTTTTACAGCAAAATACAGTTTTTGGAAGTGAAAAATAAGTCATTTTATAATACACAGTGGAAAATCTGTAAATTGATATTCCCGCTTATCCTTGCTACAGCAGTTTTTATGGTAAAGTTCTGGCAACCACAGCCTGCTGTATTTATTTATTTTACAGTGTACTACGTAATTTCTCATGGTTCATTATGTGTCTGTGGGGTGCAACATGAGGCAATGAGGTGCTGATGCATTGTGGGATTGATGTCTGTGTGTGACCTGAAATAGTGCTGTGTAATGTCCCTGTCTCAGGCGGGGGATGAGGTGGGCAGGGAGTCACTGGGGAAAAAGCCCCTGTTTGGACTGCCCTCCGTGTGAACATTTTTGCCCCTACATTCACAAAAGACCTTACAAAAAAAAGAGGGAGGGAGGGAAGGGGGTGTCAGTGGACAACGGCTGAAGAGTTTGCATGACTGAACCACTTCAAGCACCTTTCAGCTACACTTATTGCACACATTAGAGCATGCACGCTTGAGCCACAGCTCCATATCACTCTCACACTGATGCGTTCACTCATGAACTCCACAGGAGATTTGTTCATCACCCTGTGGTATTAGTATCAGTGGATGAAGGTGATCACTATGTGATGACTTTAACTACTGATTACAGTCCACAGGTGAAAGTGGCCCGGATTGAAATGAGAAATGTCTAGAGTGATTCTATTTGTGATTTTAGATTTAAATGTACAGTAAATTCAAAATTTTGAACACTTTTGAGATTGTATGTAAATATACTCTTATTTATTCTTATAATTATGGTGAATAATCATCCATTTGCAACATCTTTACGATTTTTTTTAAATCTTGCCCTAGCAGTTCAGTTGAAATAGTGCAGTGTTGACGCACATCAAGAGTAGCGTTTGTTCTGGCAGGTCACGTTAGTCAAGCTCGCATCAGCTGACTCTCAGCTGATCCCCATCTACCTATAGGAATACGACACCTATATAAGCATTCATATATAAGGTCCCTCAGTATTATCAGCAGTTTTCTCATTGCTCAATAGCTAATTACCCTCCTCCATCCCCAGCTCCTCCTCCGTCAGTCAGGCTTCAGCCTTCTGATTCTCCTTTGAATCAGACTAATTCTAAAATGTGTACATAAAATTATTGAACTTTAACGATATCTGCAATACATTTATGTTGGTTCTGTTCTGTTTACCCTGGGGGGGTTATTGCTGCTCTCCCTGCTCTTACGCATGCTAGGCTGCATGGATGCGCAGGGAGTTCTTGCCCAGAACAGAACCATACCGCCAATCCAAACTGTATGCTAATTGTCAATCATCTTTGATGATAGTGGTCCTGACAGAACTATACTACTGTTCCAGAAGTTTGGGGCGAGTACAATTTATTTTTGTTTTTTCCCCCTATTTTTGAAAGATGTCTTTTAATGTCTCCTTTGCTCACCAAGGCTGTTTATTTGATAAATTTTGATTAATTTAATGTGTCCTTGCTGAAAAAAAAAATTCATTACTTTCACCAAAAACTTACCTAGCTCAAACTTTTAAGCAGTAGTGTAATCAGAGGGGATTACAATGCTTAAGTACCTTCACATGAATTTCAGCTTTATATTACCAGTCATTTAATCAAATAAAAAGCCAGCCTGAGGCCTGGAAAAAAAATTGTTATAGTTCTGTATGTAAAGTGCCACTCTTGACTGGTGTCCATCATGTGAGGACACACATTCTTACAACATGATTACCACTAGGTGGTGTGTGTGAAAGCATCCAAAACACATGTTAGAAGTCTAGTGCCAAAATACAAATATTTTCATTACTCCACATTTTTGTTCTCAGCAAGTGATGAAACTCATTTCTAATGACACTTGGAAGGCTTTGTTTAATATTCCTGGGTTCTCTTTGATACCAGCACCAACTAATAATCATCCAACAAAGACATCTTATTACTGGAAAAATGGTTAACCCCAAACTCAACTCGCGCATCAAATAACACCCTCAGACGTTTAGAGCGAGTGCAACTTTATTCTGTTGAGTTCCATACACAAGAGACTAACATCCACTGAGACAGACAGCATCCAACACAGTATCCCATCATACATCACTGTCCCCGCGTTAAGAAGTTGTACATTTGGATTATTAATATCTGACTGATATTCCGCTCTGATTACAAAGAGTAGGCCACTACCCATATAAAAGTATATTAATATTGACCCTACAGCGAGAGAGTTCTCTACTTCAATACATATCCTAAGGAGATAAACAAAGCGCTTGATAAAACGTTATCAATTTGTTTTTGAGCAAGAAATTTTTGGATTCTTGTGCCGTTGCCAGAAGAGATTGCTGCTTTTACATTTCTGAGTACTTATCTACGATAGTAATCACAGGCTGTGAGATTATTTCAGGTCAAACACAGAGGGCCCGTACTGATTCACAATGCTGGTATAAAAGTGCTAAAGTATTCCAGGTTCATGTTGTATGTTGTTTAAAGCTCAAAACAATACCTTAACTACAAGAGTGAACAAGAAAAAACAGGAACACTGCTAAAATGCCTCCCAACAAACCAACTGTGAGGTACCCCACCCTGCACACAAAGCACAAACGCACTGCAAGCGGACAACCTTCCCACAGCACTTCTGATCTTTGAGCTGAAAATCCTAAATTACTCCTGAAAGTGAATGACACGACATTCAATTAGTACTATTGTTGTCCATTAAAGGGATAGTTCAGTCAAAAAAAAAAGAGAATTCTCAAAATAACTTCTTAT